TTTCGCTCTTGTTACCCAGGCTGGAGTGCAATGGCGCAATCTCGGCTCACCGCAACCTCCGCCTCCTGGGTCCAAGCAATTCTCCTGCCTCAGCCTCCCGAGTAGCTGGGATTACAGGCGCGCGCCACCATGCCCAGCTGATTTTTTTGTATTTTTAGTAGAGACAGGGTTTCACCATGTTGGCCAGGCTGGTCTCGAACTCCTGACCTTGTGATCTGCCCACCTCGGCTTTCCAAAGTACTGAGATTACAGCGTGAGCTACCCCGCCCAGCTGATCATATGGTAATTCTATGTTTAACTTTTTGAGGAACTACTCTAGAGCAGCTGCACCATTTTATATTCTAACAGCAATGTACAAGCGTTCTATTTTCTCTACATTTTCATCAATATTTGTTATTTTCTGGGTTTTTTTTTTTTTTTTTTTTTTTTTTTTTTGCTTGTGTGACAGTCATCCTAGTGAGTGTGAGGTGGTATCTCACTGTATTCTATTTTTTATGTTCATTTTAACATAAACTATACTATATACTTTTTTAACAATATATTGTGGAGATCTTGTCGATATGTACAGAACATAATCTCTTTTTTCTGGCTTTATAATTCACTGTCTGAATGTACCATCTTTTATTTAACCAGTTCTCTATGATGGGCTCTTTCTTCCAGTCTTACTATTACAAAAGTGCTGCAACAACTACCTTTACATACTCCATTCTCTACATGTGGAAGTCTGTCTGTAAGGATAACTCCTAAAAGTGGAATTCTGGGCTAAAGGGCATATGTATACTTTTATTTTTTATAGATATTGACAAATGGTACTCAGTAGTCTTTTTTAACACCTCAGTGGTCTTGAGGTGAGGTGTTTAAAAAAAAAAAGCAGGGGTCGGGGAGACAGATATTGACAAATTGATTTCATAAAGAATATGCCAGTTTATAGTCACCAGAAATGTAAGTACACATTCTCTAAATGAATACTAGATGATAAGTTCAAATTTGTGAAAATACCATGTTCTTAGTATGGTACTCTTGTGTGGGTTGACTTCAGAATCACTTCTTTTTAGCGGCTTTGGGAAAAGGGCAGCTTATAAAAAGCTTTCCTTGGTTGTAGTTCCAAGGAGGAGGTAGAACCTGAAAAGGGCTTGACCTGGAGCCCTTATCTACCTTTCGTTGGTGAAACATTGGGTACTCACTGAAGATGCTGGGTAAAATATTCATTTATTCCTTCAATCAACAAACATTTATCAAAAGTCTACTATTTGGTGCTAGCTGCTGGGGAAGGAATGAAATGAAATCAGACCAAACACTCCTTTCACTGACATTTGCAGGCTTTTGAAACGACTCAGACATTAACACAACTAAGAGTAAAATAACACATTGGGAGAGAGATGTCTATCATGCCACTGGAGCCTGGGACAGCATCCGAGGTCAGCAAGGGTGACCAGACGAAGTATGTTTGAATTGAGATATGAAAGATGAGTAAAAGACTAGGTAAAGAAAGTCTCTTCCTCCTCTGAAGGAAAAAGCATAGTTAACAAATAAAGAAGGCTGGGTACGGTGGCTCATACCTGTAATCCCAGCATTTTGGTAGGCTGAGGTGGGAGGACTGCTAGAGGTCAG